AATGAAGTGGTTGAGGATGGGAGTTGTTACCTTTTCCTGATCAAGAGGTTGGCTTCTACCCTGAGGTAACTAAGTCATCAAGTCGTTAGTGGCTACAGTGGCTCGGAACCAGGTCATTCGCGATGCTTCGTCTTGCAGGCTCGTCATCTCATTCATAATGCCTGAGGTCATCATTCGGCCTGGCCGAGCGGTGAGCACCACCTTCCACCTCACCTGGCCTGGCCGAGCGGTGAGCACCGCCTTCCACCTCACCTGGCCTGGCCGAGCGGTGAGCACCACCTTCCACCTCACCTGGCCTGGCCGAGCAGTGAGCACCACCTTCCACCTCACCTGGCCTGGCCGAGCGGTGAGCACGGCCAACAACCACGTGTTCACTCCCCCGGGAGACAACGAGCTACTTCAGATCACTTAAATCACTTATTGAGACCTTAATTATTCAGCCTCATAGAGCCTCCCCTAATTATAACAAAGCAGCAAGACCAACCTTCCAATATGCGGGCAAACCTTCAACAGCGTATGCAATTGCCGCGGCCTGGCTTCCGGTGGGGGCGACAAGACCTTCCCGCCGCCGCCAAGACGCCAGCAAGTGCCCCTCCTCCTCCTCCAGCCTCTGGCCTCCACTCCCAGCTATCCCACGAGGCTGGCCCGGCTGCAGCCTGTGCCTCTACACCTGCCCAGGACAGGTCAGGTCGACAGCCCGGGTCTACTGCCACACCAGGCGGGAGGAACTCTGAGGCATCACTCACGAGGAAGAGTGAGTAGCGTGTGGTGGGAAAATACTCTGGCAGGAGGAATCAGCTCAGGACGATTGTGTGTGTGTGTGTGTGTGTGTGTGTGTGTGTGTGTGTGTGTGTGTGTGTGTGTGTGTGTGTGTGTGTGTGTGTGTGTGTGTGTGTGTGTGTGTGTGTGTGTGTGTGTGTGTGTGTGTGTGTGTGTGTGTGTGTGTGTGTGTGTGTGTGTGTGTGTGTGTGTGTGGTGGGGGTGTACCTGTGGGGGTGTCACGGTCTAGCTCCTCCTACACCACCGAGGTCACAAAGTCATCGTTCACCTTTGGTAAACTTGTCACCACTAAAATTTCAATAAACTTTACCTATACGCGTTTGTTCGAAAATAAAAACGTATTTTTATTATTTTAATTATATGACAAACATCAGATATTCACCAAAGTTGTGGTCAATACTGAGTCTAATTTTGTTGAGCAAGAAAGTGGAAATTTTTTTCAACAAAATTAGACCTTATATGTAATTTTGATAAGTGATGTGATATATTTGTTTGTTACTTATAAACAGTGATGAGGACCAAGTCAAGTTATTATCCTACAGGTTATTGTATGGAGGCAGGAAAGGTGTGTATAAGCGCTCACGGAGAGACACTGCCTCTGCCCTCACCTCCCATGGGTATCACCCATACCCCTACCATTACCCACCCATCCATCCACCCACCATCAACACACCATCTCCCTACCATCAAACTACCAACCACCTCCATGAAACCACCATCCGTCATTAATGGCGGAGGCACTATACTCCCTCTATACACTACCGTGTATGGAGTCAGATTCCATACACAGTTTCAAACGTAGATAAGAAGCAGTCCAACAGGCTCAGGAACCTATATACACCAATTGATTGACAGTTGAGTAGCGAGACCAAAGAGCCGAAACTCAACCACCCCCCGCAAGCACTAGGTGAGTACTATCGATACATCCTCCACCATCCTTTCGCAATCCTCAGACCATACTACCCACACTATCCTACACTATCCTACACCCCCCCCCCCCCATGGCTGTGCAGTTGACGTCGAAACAATCTTTCCGGCGATACTTAATTTGCCCCTCCAGTATGTATGAGGAAGGAGAGTGATGGAGGGAGGGAGGGAGAGTGATGGAGGGAGGGAGGGAGAGTGATGGAGGGAGGGAGGGAGTGATGGGGGAAGCAGAGCAGATGAGAAGGAAATGATTGTGGGGAGAAAGAGAGGGAAGGAGGGAGGTGGAGGTAGGGAAGGAAGAATTCAGGGAGAGAGAGAGAGGATGATTAAGATCAATGAAGTAATAGAGATGGAATAGAGGGAAGTGGAAGACAAATTGTGCATTAGAGGTGTAACACGGGGGGGGGGGGGAGAGAGGGGAGGGAGGTCAAGATGACAACACCCGCCACACCAACACACACACCTGCACGAAACACCCGCCACACCAACACAAACACGTGCACGAAACACCCGCTACACCTACACACACACCTGCACGAAACACCCGCTACACCTACACACACACCTGCACGAAACACGGCTGTGCATGTCTCCATCACTGGGTGTAGTGAACACAATGTTTAAGAAAGAAGAGAGAGAGAAAGAGAGAGAGAGAGAGAGAGAGAGAGAGAGAGAGAGAGAGAGAGAGAGAGAGAGAGAGAGAGAGAGAGAGAGAGAGAGAGAGAGAGAGAGAGAGAGAGAGAGAGAGAGAGAGAGAGAGATACACACACACAGAGAGAGACACAGAGAGAGACAGAGAGACACAGAGAGAGAAAGAGAGCGAGACAGAGAGAGAGAAGAGAAAGGGGGGGAGAGTGAAGGATAAGACAGAGGTTGGGGGGGGGGGGGAGATGTATATCAGAGGGACGGGAGAAAGAAACAGGAAATGTAATTTTTTTGTTAAAGTTGTGATTTTTTACCCCTTCTTCATTTCGCTTGAAAAATCACACTCGCTTGAGAAAAATGAAATACGCGGCAATGTAAATATTTGATAGAGGCGGCGGGGAGGCCAGTTGAGGACGCCCTCGTCTGAGGCCGCCTTTGTGGTGGCACCCAGGAGGCCGCCAGAGGCAGCCAGGAGGCCGCCAGAGGCAGCCAGGAGGCCGCCAGAGGCAGCCAGGAGGCCGCCAGAGGCACCCAGGAGGCCGCCAGAGGCAGCCAGGAGGCCGCCAGAGGCACCCCAGGAGGCCTCCAGAGGCACCCAGGAGGCCGCCAGAGGCACCCCAGGAGGCCTCCAGAGGAACCCATGGGGCCTACAGAGGCACCCAGGAAACCTCCAGAGGCACCCAGGAAACCTCCAGAGGCACCCAGGAAACCTCCAGAGGCACCCAGGAAACCTCCAGAGGCACCCAGAAGACCTCCACAAGGCTCCTCTCCATGTATAGTTTAAACAACACAGCTGACTCACGCGCGCGCGCGTGTGTGTCGATCAGCGAACTCTTCTATCCAGACCTTATACTTAGTGTCAGTGTCCCGTGTTCCTGGATAGTCCTGCGCCCCGTCCAGGACAATCGTCCCCTCAGGAGGGAGCAGCCGTCACCCACTGTGTAAGTCAGCAAGCACACTCCCAACTCAGGAGTGGCTTCATCATTCACTCCAGTAAATCCTCCATAACTACCTCGCCCATACCTCCGACAGCGATGACGTCTCAGATCCTCCATATCCCTCCCTTCCCCCTCCCTCCCAGCACAGTCAGGCCCCTCCTCACCCCTCCCCCCCACCCCCTCCTTGACTAAATCTTCCCCTTGCCCCCCCCCTCCTCCCCCCCCTCCCCCCCCCCAGCAGCGTGTGGGATAAAGAACGCATTAGGAGTAAGAGCTGATGAAAAAATAGCTGAGAATTTTTAATTACTGAGGGAGAGGGTCGCAGGGGCTGGCAAAAGTGGTTTCTTGTTCGAAGCATCGTTTTCAAAAATGTTCTCAATTAATGATGCAGTACTTGTGGGATTTGGCCGCCGGATTCTTGCAAATGGGTCTATCTCCGCTCCTCCCATTCCGCGACTGTTCTTGATTCTTGGCGTGTCTTAGCGACTGGTGTACTCTCAAACCTTCATATTCACAACGCTGCTGCTGCAGTACTCACAAGTTAAAATAACAGCAAAAACACGCCTTGTTTAAGCATTTTCTGAACTTAATGCGTCAATCGAGCCCATGCTGGAGTGCCAGAAGGTGACACGCTAACTCTCATGGTATTTATTCGTCACTTGGAACGTTTAATATATATTCATGAAGGAGCAAACACAAATCATAAACATTGACTCAATCAATACAAACGATTAACAATGAGCGTTTTTGGTTATTTTACGTAACCATTGTCACAATGTATTTCGACTTTGACAGTGGTGATGAAAATAACTGAAACCACTAAGTCCAGTTTACCATATCCCATTATATATATATATATATATATATATATATATATATATATATATATATATATATATATATATATATATATATATATATATATATATATATATATAGAGAGAGAGAGAGATCAATAGCTTAGTACTTTCGTCCTGCAATTAAGGGCGTCGTCAAGGACTGAGACACACTGGGCGACCTCTCTACCAATACTATACGAAGATAATACAATAACGGAAGGAAGATAAAAAAAAATGAACAGAAAATTAAGCAAAAACAGAAATCAACTACATAAACAGACAAGTTCAGACGCGACGCCTGAGAGAGCGAGAAAATCCCACAAGAGGTTAGGTTACTCTAGTATCCCCACAATCTTTGAACTGATTCTTTTAACCAAAAATAGAGCAATCTTATACTAACCCGGATGTGTTAATACATTAAAAATACTTAATGTATTAACACATAAAATTGTTTGGCTGCATTCAATTATATTTCTATCAATAAAAGGTTTGCTACAGGTTCAGACCCTTGAGTTATTCCAATCCAACAGATGATCAAAATCTGGCGGGTGAACAAACATTATATTTCACATTCATTACCAGGCCAAATACTGCAGGATACCTGCAGTATTCCTGCCAGCCGAGGCAGCCCTCTGGACTCGGGAGCCGCCGCTAACAGGCCCATACAACCGGAGTGTAAATAATGGGAGGCAATATAGTGAGTGTCAGTTGTAACAAACAGGGGCTTAATCAATCCATCCCCGCACCCACCTCCTCCTGGGTTACAAATCCAATAAGAGGCGAGGTGCATCCCACGACCCTCCGCCAGAAGCCACAGTGCTGCCACGGCCCTCCAGTTACCCTCCTTCCCACCCCCCCTCTCCTCCCTCCCTCACAGGCAGCACTTGCTGCTCTCTTCCTCCTGCTGCAGCACCCTCACACTAGCCTCCACCTGCTGCAGCACTCTCACTCTGGCCTCCACCTGCTGCAGCTCTCTCACTCTGGCCTCCACCTGCTGCAGCACTCTCACTCTGGCCTCCACCTGCTGCAGCACCCTCACACTAGCCTCCACCTGCTGCAGCACCCTCACTCTCAGCCCTCCACCTGCTGCAGCACCCTCACACTGGCCTCCACCTGCTGCAGCACCCTCACACTGGCCTCCACCTGCTGCAGCACCCTCACACTGGCCTCCACCTGCTGCAGCACCCTCACTCTCTGGCCTCCACCTGCTGCACCTCACTCTCTGTCCTCCACCTGCTGCAGCACCCTCACACTGGCCTCCACCTGCTGCAGCACCCTCACACTGGCCTCCACCTGCTGCAGCACCCTCACTCTCTGGCCTCCACCTGCTGCAGCACCCTCACTCTCTGGCCTCCACCTGCTGTAGCACCCTCACACTGGCCTCCACCTGCTGCAGCACCCTCACACTGGCCTCCACCTGCTGCAGCACCCTCACACTGGCCTCCACCTGCTGCAGCACCCTCACACTGGCCTCCACCTGCTGCAGCACCCTCACTCTCAGCCCTCCACCTGCTGCAGCACCCTCACTCTCAGCCCTCCACCTGCTGCAGCACCCTCACACTGGCCTCCACCTGCTGCAGCACCCTCACACTGGCCTCCACCTGCTGCAGCACCCTCACACTAGCCTCCACCAACCTCACCCCTACCACAGCTCCTTGCACCCGTGACACAGCTCGTCTGAGATCAGAATAAAAGTCAGCTCAGGTGCCAGCCAGCCCCGACGTCATTCATGATAATGCATCCCAAGTTACTGTAACGATATACAACACACACCTGATATAAGAGGAAGTAGCAAGACTTGCATACATTACACGTCGCCTGAGCTCGCAACGCCAAGGTGCTCCTCAGCCACTCCTGGGGACACTTTCCCCAGCAACCATAACGACACTGTCATGGCACGACTGACACTCATGACACATGTGACGTGATCTATTACTCATACATGTTAAACGTTGACCATATATGACGCAAAAGGTTTGCTTATTTCATATATAAGTTGGTCAAGCGTGGCTTAACGGAAGGTGACGGGCGCATGATGGCGAGCAGAGAGTATCTCTCCAGAGAGAGATACTCTTGCTGGAGAGTATCGGGACGGAGAGTTACGGGTAAAAGAACTGAGGGGGGGGGGATGGGGGAGGAGAGTAGTGGGGAAGGGGGCGGCGGGTTGCCGGCGGTGGCAACACTGGTAGCGCCGCCCCAGGGGACAAGGGGGGTTAAAAAGTGCAGTCATCATACTCTAAATGGCGGGAGGAGAGAGGCGTTTTTGTGATAAGCCGACGAGTTAAGACGCCGAGCAGGAGGCTGGAATGAGCCCCGTTCCTGCTGCCGCCCTCAGATCGTTCACAAGACTGTATGACGTCACAAGTGTTCAGAGTTGTGATGTAACCCAAGGAGACCAGGTGATCGCTGACCAAACATACAACCATGTCAGGTTGTAGTGTTGTGTTTGGTCTCGAGTCGTGTTCAAGGATCTGCTCTCAGGCTAGATTGACAGGGAATTATATACTATGATTGTTAATTACATTCACATACATATTAATAACTAAACGCTTGTTTAAACTTGGCAACCAATTACAACTTAGTATGATTCCTTTGAACCAGCATTACCGTGCCCATTGAACGCACCCTGATCATAGTTATCATACTCGTCACTATATCAGATAATCTGTCGAACCAAAGATGGTTATTTTAGGGCGAAAACAAATGTCATTGACAACTTCTGTTATAATGACTTTCCACGGATCACTTGCAACAACTTCTTGGCTCAAAACAGGCGCTTGACTGGGGGATAATAATGACCTTAAATGAGTAAGGAGAATCGATCAAACGGTCAAAAGCAGCCAGTACCTGGTTGACGACACAGTCTTGTATAGCCGTAATACCTTTCATGACAGCACATTCAGCACCACTCCTGTGCCAGGTAAGTCCACTACGGGCTCACCATAGCCCGTGCTTCTTGGAACTTGTTCCGAGTAGCTGAATCTATAACAACAATAACAACCTTTCTTGAACAATCCTCTCAGTTCCCTCCATATGGAGGCGATTGTCACACTTTAGGACGTGAGGTCAAGACTGGAGATGATTAGTGTATGACGTGTGGAGACGAGATGAATAGCGACAACCCAAGGACTTAAAGACATCAGTGAAGACACCCACACAAAGTGTTGGACGTGTTGACGAGGGCAGCGGTATTGACGGGGTGGAGGTGCAGTGGGTTGGAGGGTGGTGGGTGGAGGGTGGAGATGGAGTAGCGTGGAGGGAAGGGTGGTGGAGGGGAAGGAGGTGCACACGGATATGACAACGAGGAATATTGGTTGAAGCATCAACTTGGTTGAGAGTTGTGAGGGTCAGAGAAAGTTGTGAGGTACACGAGAAGTTGAGCCCATAGGTGAGGCGGGGACGGAGGCGTAATCTTGTGTCGTCGAGATTGGTACACGACCTGAGAGGGGGGACACGCCTGCTCCCACTGCCTTAATACCCGCGTTAAGATTCACCACATTATATTCACATCCTAATCTCTTGTTCATATTGGCGCCTTACCCGCCCGCCTTCCTCACACTCTAGTGAGGCCTAGTGTCTGGCCCCTCTGAGACAGGCCTAGTGGCTGGCCCCTCTGAGACAGGCCTAGTGGCTGGTCCCTCTGAGACAGGCCTAGTGGCTAGCCCCTCTGAGACAGGCCTAGTGGCTGTCTCTTCTGAGACAGGCCTAGTGTCTGGCCCTTCTGAGACAGGCCTAGTGGCTGGCCCCTCTGAGACAGGCCTAGTGACATTTCTGCAACTTGCTCCGACACATTGTACCCAAGGTCAGGGTAGTCTGCCCAACAAGCTCCCCCCCCCCTCCTGGGATACAAGGTAGGTGATGCCTGGCAGAAGCCAGCGGGTTTAGGCAGGCAGCTCAGGCACTGTGCTGGGGTAACACCTGGCTCCTGGTGACTGGCCTCGGCGGCTCATTAAGAGTTGTGGTGTCAGGTGCTGTGTCTTATAGCACTGTATCTTTATACTTTGTTGTTGTCAGTCTCCGGGTTATTAAGTTCAAATTAGTGGTCATGCATTTATTTTGGTTTATAAATTACGTGTACAAAGACAGTTGTTTTGCAGGTGTTAAAGTAACTTGTATTTTAACTTTAAATTAATTTGTGTTTGTAATCTTTGCTTTTGACTTTACTCCTGTTCCCCTGATTCACGTTGAAGTTGCAAGGCAGCTTTTTGTTTTTTGTACTTCGTAGAGCAAACCATCAGCTGGGTACCACCACAGTACCTCACTTAACCTAACAAATATTATAACTCCCCCCCCAAAAAAAAAAAAATGCTGCGTGTCGGAAAATCCGACACCATTTAATAATAATATCATACAGACAGATAATTGCTGCTGTATTGTATAAACAAGTTACCCAGAGAAAATGTAACTGTTGTGGAATTTCCGTCTATAGAAAACGGGATATCTTTACCACATACTATTATAAATTCACCAGCTATTCTGCTGAGAATTATTCTTAAATACATTAGTCTTTGGACTTTACCATCATAAAAACATCTCATATAAATTAACTTAATTATCAATATTAAAGTAGAGTAAATGTGACCCTTCTATCACTTACTGTCATCTGGACAATGTAGGCCAGTAGCGTCAGTGAGGAAGGAGTGGTCAGCCAATGTTTATACTAGACCAGAGGCTCACGGGAGCAAATACGGCTCCTGTTAATTTTACTTGGACGAAGTGTTATGGAAACCAAAGGTGTACCATTATCAACACGCTGTCAACAAATTCGTAGTTAAGTGTTCTACCGAAACCCATTTATCTATCATTTATGGCCATTAATGTCATTAGATAGGGTGGACCGGTTAGAGCATAAGATCGCCTCATACTAAAGGTAATTAAGCCAGGTCTTTAAGGTTCCATGTACAGTGTTTTCTCTGATATAGTTGTCATATATTAGGATTCTGGCTTTACAGCTAGCGCCCTTTTGACAGGTCAAGATGAGGAAGCATGCTTTGTGCATCAGTTACCAGGGTGATGGAAGCTACCTCAAAGAGGGAAAATGTGGTGTCTACATCCTGGTTATACCTGGTGGACTAAGGCCTGCTGTACAATAAGATAAGGAACCTCTTCAATGTATGTAGTCTAATACTGTAGTTTGATTGGCTGCATATATATAAATTCAATTAATATAAACCCCCCTAATGTGTAGAGGATCGATTTGTGAGATTAAGAGATTATTGCAGAAATACAGTCCACTTAACATCATACAAATTGCTATCGAAGTATATAAATTAATGTAAATATAAATTCATATAAATTAAATAAATATAAATCTCACAGGTCGGTCGGTTCCAACTCAGCGTTCTTGACTGACAGGCTGAGTTGGGTAGGCCTAAGATAAGTGCTTTAAAATATACATCTGATAACCCTTCCCCCCCCCCCCGTTCCATTCTATGCCATTTTCAGTGTCTGAAATAAAATCGGCCATATGGTTTCCGTACAGTTTACCGCGAAATTTAGTGAGTAAAATGCTTACAATCTCATCACACGCAACATTCCTTTTAACTACCTTTCTCCAATAATCCTCTTTATCTGTGTCCCACCATTCAAGTACCCACACACCCGTCACCAAGAATGGTAATGAGAATCTTGCTCTTCTCAAAGCTGTCACACTTGAAACAATTGCCTCCTCCATTGAAATTTAAGATCTCGCGAGCACTGTGTCTACACCAACGGCTCAGTCCAATCTTCTACTGGACGGACTGCAGCAGCATGTAGGTTTTATAGAAATAATATTTGCACAAAGGCTGTCAGTGTCAGGTTAAACAACTGGCTGACCTCCACACAAGCAGAACTAGCAGCATTACAACTAGCTACCAGTACATTAAAAATCATTGGAAGAGGAAAAATATTTGTGATTCAAAATCTGCTCTTCAAGCAATCGAAAACTTCTCCTGGAAGATCGACAGCAGGGAATCATACTACCAACTATAAATGATCTAATAGATACACAGAGTAAAGGGTTTCGAATGTCCTTTGTGTGGATACCATCACCTATAAATGTAACCCATCATAATGACAGACATTGCAGCCAAATTAGCGTGTAACAAAGATGAAGTTGAATTAGATCTAGGTATCCCCATCTCTGTTGTAAAAACTGTATTGGTCCAAACACTCAGGTCTGATAGGAAAGAAATTACTGACTCCCAATGACCTGAAAGCAACAGAATAAAAAGCTATGATTTGTTCAAATCTAAAACCAATATTTATGGGCAGCAAAAAACGTCCACCAGACTGTGCGACACAGTGGTCAGGTT